GCTCGATTGAGGTTAGAGTAATCAACACAGAATCGCCATTTACTGTTGCTTTTTCAGACCAAGACCACATTGGACAGCATCTAGGGTAGTCTACGTTCTTGACAAATTGTGCCTCCAGTAGCTTATCTACCTCAGAAGCAATAAGAACGTTGCGTTCTAGGTGAAAGATACGCTGCTTTTGGCGAAAGGGTAAAAAATGGGGCTCGATGCTTAGACGATGAGTGATGAAGGAGGGATCAATACCCGACATGTCGGAATGGGTCCAGGCAAACACATCATTATGCTCGGTCAGGAGGGTTATAAGGTCGGCCTTGGCTTGGGGGGATAGTTGGCTGTTTTTGTTGGGTTGGTGGGATCGATGGGGACTTCAACAAGTTCTTCCACTGGTTTCCCTCTGATTAACTCGTCTTCGTCTTTAACGTCGAGTCCTTCGATAATCATGGTCTCCTTCAGCTTAGCCTCTTTGAGTGAAGCGACGTCGCATTCTCTAGCCACAGTCTGCTCTCCCCTTACAGTGCCGACTTCGAGGTCGGTAGGAAATTTCATGGCCAGGTGATACGTGGATGTGACAGCTTGAAAAGCGATAAGAGCGGTGCGACCAAGGATGATGTTATAAACAGAGGGACAGCCGATGACGAGAAAAGTGAGCAACTTAGTGGCCTGTCGTGGGTATTCTCCAATGGTGATGGAAGATCGATAGAGCCTATGGAGGTCACACCGATCTCCAGTGAAGCCAACCAGTGGGGTTTGGAGAGGGAGGGTTATAAGGTCGGTCTTGGCTTGGGGGGGATAGTTGGCTGTTTTTGTTGGGTTGGTGGGATCGATGGGGACTTCAACAAGTTCTCCCACTGGTTTCCCTCTGATTAACTCGTCTTCGTCTCTAACGTCGAGTCCTTCGATAATCATGGCCTCCTTCAGCTTAACCTCTTTGAGTGAAGCGACGTCGCATTCTCTAGCCACAGTCTGCTCTCCCCTTACAGTGCCGACTTCGAGGTCGGTAGGAAATTTCATGGCCAGGTGATACGTGGATGTGACAGCTTGAAAAGCGATAAGAGCGGTGCGACCAAGGATGATGTTATAAACAGAGGGACAGCCGATGACGAGAAAAGTGAGCAACTTAGTGGCCTGTCGTGGGTATTCTCCAATGGTGATGGAAGATCGATAGAGCCTATGGAGGTCACACCGATCTCCAGTGAAGCCAACCAGTGGGGTTTGGAGAGGGGACAAACTTTCTTCCCCGACCTTGAGCTAGTAGTAGGAGTTTAGGAAGATGATGTCTGAAGAGCTACCGTTGTCGACAAGCACCCGTCTGGCTTTGTAATTGGAGAGGAGGGCAGAGATGACGAGGGGGTCGTCATGGGGGTAACGGATGCCCGTGCAATCGGCCTCCGTAAAGGTGATGGGCTTCATCCACTGCATGGGGTGTTTGAAGGGGCGGTCCAATATTGCAACTTCTTTATCTGAGCCCTATCTTATTTTTCTGAGTTCTGCCCGTTGGTCCAAACGGGATGGTCCTCCACAAGCAAGCCCGCTAGCAATAACTCTGATCTCTCCAACCAGGAGGGCAGGGTTGCCTTGTCCCCGGGTTGCTGTGGGGGCCAATCATGGCCTTGGTTAGGTTGTGTGGGTTGTCGATGAGGGGTGCGCTGGTGGTTATTTCTGGCAAGTTCGGTCCTTGGCCGTTGTTGAGGGCGGGCTGCCGTGAACCGATTGAGACGCCCCTGATATATCAAGCCCTCGACCTGGTCTTTAAGGTTAACACACTCCTCGGTATTGTGATCGTGGTCCTGATGGAAACAGTAGTATTTGGACTGGTCTCGACGGTTGAAAGGAGACCGCGACGGTTGGGGCCATTTCAAGGGATAATCTCGTTGGATCTGATTCAAGACTTGTTCCATGGGGGAATTGAAGGGTGTGTACCGTTCGAATCGGCCGGACGGTCGGATAGGTGCCGACTGGTCGGCTCGAGCAGGTCGGTCGATATACTGAGGTGTTTGCTGTGTGTACTGGGTGCTTCTGGTTACAAGGTCTTTTCTTTTCTCTCTGGGGGTCGGATTTTTGGTCGTCGAATCTTATCGGGCGGCTAGGGAATCTTCGGCGCTCATGTATTTTTGGACTTTAAGAGGAGAGTTGCCATGGAGGTTGGAGGGTTTTTAGAGAGGGAGAAAAGAAAATCGGATGATTGTAGATCGGCCATGAAAACAGTGAGAATGACCTTGTCATCATTCTCCGCCACCTGCAAGGCTTCGATATTGAAACGGGTGACGAAGCTGCGTAGGGACTCCCCCTCTGTCTGATAGATATTGAGGAGTTGGGTTGCCGGACGCCGCTGGCGTTGGGCACCAATGAAGTGGCTGAGAAAGGAATCACTTAGGTGCTAAAAAACAGAGACAAAGTCTGTCGGCAGCTGACTAACCAGAGTCGGGCCGATCCCTTACGTGTTATGGGGAAAGTCCGACACATGATCTCATCAGGGAATGCATGGAGGACCATGAGGGTCCTGTAAGTCTCCAGATGGTCGATTGGGTCCATTGTACCGTCGAAAGAGTCAATCGAGGGCATTTTGAACTTGGAAGGTAGGGATTTGTCCGTAATGGAAGCAACAAATTATGAGTTGGCTGTGGTGGAGGGTTTATTCTGTATGTTCTGCATGACTCCTTGAAGCTGGAGTTTCATGGCTCGAAGCTCGGCATCCCAAAGGGAAACGTTGTCACTGTTGAAATGCACTGGAGGCTGGACACTAATGGCCTCTCCCTCGGGGGCAGGCGCTGGGAACGATAGGTATTGGGGCCGAGGTGGCGAGTTCATTTCTGCATGAAGAGGTCGTAAGCCCTCCAAGTCAAATAGTTAGGATTGTTGGATAGGGTGGCTCGGGGCTCGTTCTCGATTTGGTGGTATATCTTGAGGTGGTGGTGGAGGTATGAGGAGGTCTCTTTGAAGCAAAGCATCGATCAAGGCTTGGTTTTGCTCGGCTAAGCGGTTAATGTTGTTGGTGTGTTTTGTGAAATACGGTGGTGGGCTATTTGGGTTAGGAGGGTCGACTTGGGGGTCGACAACGTTGTATTGAGAAGGTATGGATCTAGTTGTGACTATCCACCTAAATGGGTGGCAGGTAGGGATTATCGGGAATGGGTCTCCGGTGATAATGAGCACAGTTGCCACACGAAGCAAAGGATTCCCACAGACGGCGCCAACTGATGTTACTGTGAGCTCCAGAGGGAACAGGCCGGGTCGTTCCACACTTCTCAAGCCGTCGTCCGATTGATGGTTCCCACGGAGAAAACTTGCAAAAGAGTTCAACGGGGAACGGGGAGTCCCCCAGCGAACCTTCCGACGAACTAGTTAGAGAGATGAGAGTAGTGAAGATGTAGAGAGAGGATAGAGATAGAGAACTTAACCTTCTCCTTGTCGTCGAAGCTTGCTTATATCATTTGCTCATCATTTCCTTGTCCACTCCGAGCTGTCATGTTGGCCGAAAGTCTATGTTTTAGCTTGCCTTGTTCATGGTGAGACTGTTCTGTTCCGACGTGAAGGGTTATCGTAATAAATGCTACAGGAAAACTCATTAATGGCTGAGGCATAGTGCAATAACTCTACAGGATCTTTGTCTGCTGATGTGGCTGGTTTTTCACTTGCCAAGTGTTTAGATATTATTGGTGCTTGGTGTGACGTTGGGCTTCAAGAATGTTGGGTTTTAATATTTGAATCATAAACTGGGCCTTGAGTGGTGAGCTATGTCCTTTATGGTTCACCCATGTTAAAAATTATGATAAAAATGGAAAATCCATCTTTTAGTTAGGCTAGTCCAAAAATGAATAATGAGAAGAAAATGTACCCTCTGTGGAAGAGAATTACTATTGCTATTGCTATTGCTATGTTACGCTACAATGCTCTCAAAAACTTCATAAATAAATAAATAAATACATCATTCCATTGTTAATTTGTTAACTAAAAGTATCTTTAATGATTGTTACTATAATATTATTATTATTGTTATAATTTGATAATAAATAATATTATTTTGTCAAATTATAGTAATGGTGCTCTAATGGTTATTTATTATTTTGATAATTTTTAACCAACTTTTCCTCCTAGTTTGTAAATGTTGTTTGGATATAGATTTTTTTGTGATTTTATTTTTATTTATTTTTTTTCTTTTATGACCTTTTTTTAATTATTTGTTAAAAAAAATTATACATTTATATTATTCCCAACTAGACAAATATAAAAAATTAAAAAAAATTAAAAAATTTGAAGAAAAAAATTAAGGGGTTATTTGGGGTGTCCTAAATAAGTGTATTTTTTGTCTTTTTAGACTAAAAAATTGAGAAAAAAAATATGGATGTTTGGATTAACTTTTTGACTTTTATAGAAAAATGTGTATTAAAAAATTGTATAAATTAGTGTGTAGGAAAAAATTAAGATTGAAAGTTGTGCAATCATAATTGTTGACTTTTGGTGAATAGTATTAACTTTTTAACTTTTTGAGTAACTTTTTGACTTTTTATGAACTTGGCAAACTTGGCTTAAATATAATTTAATTTGAAAAATTAAATAGAAAAATTAAATTTAAAAAATTATTTGATTTTCTACCGTTCCAATTCTATTTTTTTAACTAAATTTAAAATCACAAATATATTTATATTTAATGATGTGACATATTTGACAATTATTATTTTATTTATTAAATTTAAGAACAGACCTGACATATAACATATGTCATATTTAACAAATAAAAAAACAAGTTATTAGAGACGCACTTTTTGTTACTATTACTATTATAGCTTTAGTAAGCATTTTGCGAGCTCGATTGAAGAAACTCTAACTTGTATCTACTGTTTCAATTCTATTTTTTTAACTAAATTTAAAATCACAAATATATTTATATTTAATAATGTGATTATTTTATTTATTAAATTTAAGAACAGACCTGACATATAACATATGTCATATTTAACAAATAAAAAAACAAGTTATTAGAGACGCACTTTTTGTTACTATTACTATTATAGCTTTAGTAAGCATTTTGCGAGCTCGATTGAAGAAACTCTAACTTGTATCGAAATTTTGTGAAAGCCTAGGGTTTCAATCTCCATAATAATAATAATAATAAGAACAAGAAGAAGAAGAAGGAGGTGGAAGTGGCGTTGGATTCCCGTAGAGCTAACAAAGGAGGACTTGACTTTCCGTTTTGTGCTTCCACGTATGATTCTACCTACTCTCTCTCTCTCTCTCTCTGTAGATGGAAATGGAAATGGAAGGTGAATGGAAGTCGCGTTGATTCTGTCGCTTTTAGGTAACAGAAGAGGGTAGTGTAGTGTAGGAATCATATTCATATTCCTCTCAGCAAATTCAGACATTGATTGATTCACTTTGCACGCAATTGGAATGCGTGCGTGCGTGTGCGTGTGTGTGTGTGTGAGAGAGAGAGAGAGAGAGAGAGAGAGAGTGTGTTTGTGTGTATATATATCCACGAATGTTGGGGGGATTTGGATTTGAGGAGAAGATAATAAGAGAATTGATTGTGGATTCCTGAGGAACTTATTCTGATTCTGATTCTGTTTTTTCTTGTCATCCATATATGTAGAGTACAGTGGTAGATTGGACTTGGATTTACTTAAAGCTAGCTCTACTCCTGCTCCCCAACACCAACACCAATCAGTTGCTGTGATCAATCCATCTCTATTCTCCATCTTTTTCTGGTATGATATGTCCCAAACCCACTCTCTCTCTTTCTCTCTGTTTCATAGTTCTCTGTTTTTAATACTTCATCCAAACTGGTGATTAGTTTTGAAAAATTTTGAATTTTTTTAGCTCTTATACCCTCCGTATATGCACTCACACATACATATTTTGAGAGAGAGAGAGAATGGCTCGGTTTCTTTGGCTATTCGCTTGTGAAAGCGATGACTGATAAGCGTTAAGAATAATATGCGATACAACAGTAGAAAGAAAGAAAGTAAAGCCAGAGAGAGAGAGAGAGAGAGAGTCCTCTGAGAGAGAAAACTCCAGAATAGGGGGCCATACGGCAAGGGTCGTGGTCCTCCATACTTTGACTATTGCTAGTAATGGGTCACAGTTTCTTCTTGTATCACAATCGATTTCGAGTACGCCATTACTCATTTAGTGACAAGCTATTGCAAAGAAAAAAATTTAAATGCATAAAAAAATTTGTTGGGAAATTTCATTTGATATAAAATTATGAATCATTTTTTATGAGTCAGCTAAGCGCAGAAGAGGCCAGAAGGAACATTGGTCATTGAGGACTGAAAGGATGGGAGAGATCTAGCCTTGAACACTATCTTATTAGCATAAGGTCAAATATAATATTATTAGAGGCAAAACTTGTACCAGAAAGATATTATCAAATGCAAAATCGCCTGCCTCTTCTCATGCTTGACCTTTTCTAATTCTAAGGTGGGATTTGGTTCAATTGGGATGGCCTGACTGGTGAAGGCTAGGCTATGTTAGGTTCAATTAATAATGTATAAAATAAAGAGTAATGTTGAATATTGGGTAACATGGATCAGGTATTTTTTATCGGATAAAATCACATAGTAATAAACTATTCAAACTTCAATGCATGATTATCATCAATGGTTCAATTTACTATATAATCCAACTTGGTAAATACAATGTTTAAAATGAGGAAAGAGGACAGAAAGTTATTGGGACAAAGGCCAAAATAACTTATTCCCACATCATGAAATGCCAATACTAGCTTGGTAGTAGTAGCAGCAAGTTTTTGTCAGGCTATTCCTGCTCAAGCTGCCCTATGGGTTGATGGAAAAGCTTCGAGTTAACCCCTTCTTGACATTTGAGTTTAGCAGCTGATTTTAAGCCTAAGTGACATTGCCAAAATTTGTGATAAATGTCATGGTCCATGTTTCAAAGAATGTTATATGCCATATTATAAGTTAATCTAGTTTTATAATGGTGAAAGTATACATTTTTGCATGTGGTATTTTCCTGCAAATAACAAGATAATGGGGTTATAAGTAATTAATAAGGTAATGTGGTTGTAAGCAATTAACTAGTATATCTTTTCTGCTTGGATCTTAGAAGAATATGTTTAATACCTTTGTTTTTACCCACTCTTGTAGTGCAAAATGTTATTTGCCCTGTGCTTCCCTCATATAGTTCATCAGTTCCTTTCACATTGACTAATAATTGTTATCTACGTCTAACTTCGAATTGATTTCTCATATGCAGAGTCATTGAGGTTGATTTATTTCCTCACTTGTTGCAATTGAAATTGAGAGATCTGATCTTCTCTGATTGGCTTCTCAGGTAGTTATCCGAGCAATCATGAATGCATTAGCTGCAACCAACAGAAATTTTAAGCTGGCAGCTCGGCTTTTGGGCCTGGACTCAAAGCTTGAAAAGAGTTTGCTCATTCCATTTAGGGAAATCAAGGTTGTAAATGTTTTTTCTCATGGATGCTTGTTTTAATGTCGATGAGTTTATCGACGTAAAATGTTAGCAACCTAATCCATTGCTCATTTAGCCAAACATTTCCCTCTCAATTAGTTGTCAACATCTCGTGCTTTATTTGTTTCTTTTCTTTCAGTAGGATATCATTGCCTGGAATGTTTCACTTTATTTTTTTGTTTTTATGGATTAACTATGATTTTCCTTCAGAAACGCTTCTTATTTACTTGCATTAGGTTATCCATGTTGATCTTTATGCATCACAATTCCATAACTCCAGAATTTACAATTCCACATATTTTTAGCCTTTCAAAAAATTTATTCCATTTTATAATATATAAGTGTTGATGTCCTGATTATATGGCTCTTCATAATCCATTCAGACAAGCTTGAGTTAGTGACTTCTGAGCCCAGAATTATATCTTCATTCCCTGTCAATTCATTATTGTGCCATCATTCATGAAAATACCGAACTTCCTTTATTTTCTCCCTTATTACCTCTCTTGATAATTTTTGAGCAACTGAAGGCATTCTGGCCCAAATAAGTTCTAGTTTCTTATGAGCTTTCACGATTTTGTTTACTTCAAACCTTATTTGTTTTTACTCTGCTAACTGCGCTGCTTTTTTACGAAAAATGAAGGTTGAGTGTACCATACCAAAAGATGATGGCAATTTGGCTTCTTTTGTTGGGTTCAGGGTTCAGCATGACAATGCCAGAGGCCCCATGAAGGGAGGAATCAGATACCACCCAGAGGTTTGTTCATGACCTATTAACTGAAACCTTTGCTGACAGGGTAGAAATTGGGTTTCTAAGATTATACCACCCAGAGGTGATGATTATGTTTTTTCTGGATTTTAAAGATTATTTTGGGTTTCTGTTGAAATAGTTACCTGGAAACTGTAGGTTGACCCAGATGAGGTGAATGCTTTAGCACAACTAATGACGTGGAAGACCGCAGTAGCCAATATACCATACGGTGGAGCTAAAGGAGGGATAGGATGCAATCCAGGGGAATTAAGCATCTCTGAGCTAGAACGACTCACCAGAGTTTTCACCCAAAAGATACACGATCTTGTTGGAGTGCACACTGATGTTCCAGCACCTGATATGGGAACAAATCCACAGGTTTACAAAAGATCTACTTTAGTTCACAGAATTTTAATGGTTGTTTAGGTTAATAACTAATGCTGTTGAGTAGTTTCCATGTATATACTTTCTAATGTTTGCTGAAATTCTGAACTGATTTTTGATTGTTGTGTGTTTAAACAGACAATGGCATGGATATTAGATGAGTACGCAAAATTTCATGGCTACTCACCTGCTGTAGTGACTGGTAAACCTATTGTAAGTAAACATAGACTGGTCACAAAACCAGGTCTCGTAATTGTGGTTTTTCTTGTAAATATTTTGATTCTCCTAGTAACACTGATGCAGTATTTTGCAAAATGGCATTAACTTTTTGATTTTTTCTTCTCATGGTTGCTGATGCTTTTGCTCTATGTTATATTAATGGTTGTTTGATGAAACCAAACTTTCGAAGTACACATATTGTGAATACAATGTATAAATAAAAAAGTTTTCATTCTACATGCACTTGGGAATCGTTACAACATTATAGTTTGTTATGTTTTCACAGTACTTCCTCATTTCTGTAATTTGACAGACTCAAATTCTTTATATCAGGATCTTGGTGGATCCCTTGGTAGAGATGCCGCCACTGGAAGGGGAGTCTTATTTGCAACAGAGGCCCTGCTCAACGAGTATGGGAAGAGCATTGCTGGACAACGATTTGTTGTACAGGTGAACCTTTTATGTGACTTGCTAGAATATTTGAAATTACTGTGGAGTAGTCCACACGGAACAAAATAGCATAGCGAATAATAACTAAAGAGTAGGTTCACATAAAATAACAGATGAGGTTATTATTCCAAAAAATTGCAGAATGAGTGTTGAAGAAGCACAGCACGAATGTGCCAGGGATTTGAGGGAGGACAGTTGACAAAAGAAAGCTAAATATCTCATTTATACTCCTTTTTCTTCAATCAATTATGTTGTGATGATTGGTTCTGATCTCAGGGATTTGGGAATGTGGGTTCCTGGGCTGCTGATCTCATCAGTGAAAAGGGTGGGAAGATTGTTGCAGTAAGTGACATAAGCGGAGCTGTAAAGAACAGCAAAGGACTCGACATTCCAAGCCTACTAAAGCACGTTACAGAAAATCGTGGAGTTAGAGGATTCAATGGTGCGGATGCAATAGACCCCAAATCAATATTGGTCGAAGATTGTGATATTCTCCTCCCAGCAGCCCTTGGGGGTGTGATCAACAGGTCTTTTCCTTAAACATCTGATGAGCATAATAATGTCACGGGCATGGTTTGTGAGGTTTTACATAAATTTTCTTTTGGTATATAATTGAAGGGAAAATGCCAACGATATCAAAGCCAAATTTATCATTGAGGCAGCTAACCATCCAACTGATCCGGAGGCTGATGAGGTGAGTGCATCCTGATTGATTTTGAAGTTTACAGTGCAAAATAATTGCAGTAGCAAAATTTGTCTTCTTCATTTGCAGATCCTATCAAAGAAAGGTGTTGTTATCCTTCCGGACATTTATGCAAACTCAGGTGGAGTTACGGTTAGTTATTTTGAGTGGGTTCAGGTATTGCTTTTCCACCTGTCACTTTCCAGCTATATTGCAGCTTATTAATTATGGTTTTTTTTTAAAAAAAAAAAAGAATCTTTTTTGTTATTCAATTTCTGCAATCCATTTTTTTGGGGGGGACTTCAGACAGTTGGATTACTTGTTATGATTTCCGTGTTAAAAGATTTTTACAAATGTAGAGTAAGCTTATAATTGGGGGCATTTTTTGGGGGGTGGAATGTAGAACATTCAAGGATTCATGTGGGATGAGGAGAAAGTGAACAATGAGCTGAAGACATACATGACCAAAGGTTTCAAGGATGTGAAGGAAATGTGCAAAGCCCATAATTGTGATCTGCGCATGGGAGCCTTCACCCTTGGGGTTAATCGTGTTGCTCGTGCCACTGTTCTCAGGGGTTGGGGAGCCTGAGAAGACGACCACAACAATGCACACCTGCTTTAATTATACAATAAGGCTTCAACGGAGGCCCCTCTTATTAATTGGTCTTCCATGACCGATTTTGTTGTTATTATCTTCTTCTTTTTACCTTTTCTGTTTTTGACATTAATGAGTAGTTCTATGAGCTTTCATAATCGAACGAGTCCACTTGGGCAATGCAAATTCTCCATGAAGGGAAAGTTAATGAAGTATGTTTCACACCTCTCTCTCTCTCTCTCTCTCTCACACACACACACACACACACACACATCTTCCAGTTACAGCCAACACCTACCTCATGCTTTAAACAGATTCAATTCAATCGCTAATCACTGAGATATTTATGCACGCAGGGGTTTTAACAGTCTCAATTTATAAGTATTTAAGAAGTACAACAGGCTCTGCATTGTCATATGCATGCATGAGAGTACAACTTCAATAGCTAATTGCCAGAGAGTATGGCTTGCAATCTAAACTAAATGGTGTACCTCTCAATTATTTGCGTTTGGATTATGTAATAATAATCTTGTAAGGTTCAAATTTTGCTTTCCCTCAGTTGGGTGACAAAGCAAACTTAAGCTCAACACATATTTGTCTTGATGCTACTTCAGTTTTAACTCAACCGGTTGATTAGCATAGCAAGTTCATTGTAAGAAAACCAGGACAAAGAAACAGGACTTGCTGAGCAATGAAACCGAAAGTGAAGTACACCTTCATCTCATCTTATATTTAGTTTTAAGTTGATTTAAATATGATGCTTGCAAGTCTTCAAGTAACCAATTTCAGGCACCTTCCTGTGCCTCAAAGGGTATGCTAAATAGCCCTCTCCTCCTAAAGTTAGAAACAGCTTGCTAATGGCTGATGCCATGGAGGGCTATGCTCAGTTTAGAATGTAAGATAAACTTGTACAATACAAATCCATTCATTTTGACCATTAAAATAAACACCAATTTCAAGCTGCCATGCCAACCACCATAAAGCCATACATTTTCAAAAACTTTGAACTGAAACTTGATGGGCTTCTGTGATCCAGAAAAGCAAAATATAGCTCATCAATAAACTGATTATAGTTCGACAGGAAGTAGGGGAGTGCATTGACTTTGAACCAGGAACTGTGGAACAAGCAGGTCCCCGAGCACAGGAAGCACCGATAATGTTATGTTCATTGATCAATCAAATATAGGCAAGCCTTGGGAAGAACCTTGAGTAAGTACAGTTAGTGATGCACAATAAATGCCCCATACAAAGAAACACCTCCAAGCGTGTTAGCGTCATCCAGTGAACAGACACTAGATGCCCTGCTCGTGAGCTGGGTTTGAACCAGGCAACCTACCCCCTTCCCCTTATGAGATGTACATATCCGACATACTTGGCTCTATATATTTATATATGTAAAAGTAACACCTCCAAATTTCCACCTTTGGAGACCCATTATTATCCCCAACCATATTGAATAGTATCACATCTCCAGAGAAATTTCAACCTTTCCATTCTCTTAAAACAATCATTCCAAATATTGCGGAAACTGAAAAATGTTTAACACTCGAAATTTAATAGAGCCATATCTGATTGAATCCACTAAATACCGCACATAAATAAAAGAGGATACAGAAATGTGCCAATAAATTCCACTCATTCTGTTAACAAAAAGTTCATATCAAAACCAACATGTGAATTACCTTCCAAAGCGTTCTGGAATCACAACTCAAAGGAGGACATAGAAAAAGTACACAATGCCATTCTAAAATCTCCCTCTGCCCCTAAAACCACCACCACGTCCGCCACCTCGGGGGCCACCCCTACCCCTTGGAGCACCCCTTCCACGAAAGCTACCGCCTCCACGAAAGCTACCGCCTCTCCCACCACCTCTGCCTCCACCACGGCCTCCACCTCTAGCACCTTGTGTCTGTCCCCTGCAACAACAATGTGGCAATGAAGTTCAGTAAACCTACTCCGATTCAATGTATGGATATCTAAACAAAGAACAATAACCGTCTCCCATTCATAAGGAAAAAGAAAAAGAAAGCAACCAAGCCCTTTGAAAGAAAACACTAATTCAAAAGAAGCCAAACAACATCATATGCAAGCTACTAGGAGAGTGGTGGAGATGGAAGAAATTTAACTGCAAGTCTGACAAAAAAAAATGGCATTACAATATCAAGCACTCAAATTGAAATGATTTATCTGTGACCTTCCAGTACAACAAAACCTCTATATCTAAATTGTGTTACATAAGTACTTCCTTATTTGAGGGGAATGAAAGAAAGTTTGCTGTCTAGTTTACTATGAAAGGAGTTTTCTGCCAGGAGAACACCCTAAGTTGCAATGCATTGAAATAAGAGAATCATTGACATGGGCAGGTGACAAATATTTTAGTCAACTAAAGAAGCATTACAAAGCATCCATGGCAGTTATGTAACTGAAACCTATCCACTCATCAAGCAACGGACCAAGGCTTAGAATACCAGCTGGTATGCAGCACGCCAGCTGGTTTGAATTGGTTTTTGGCCCTTCAACCCGGTACACCATTGGGATAAAAAATCACATGTGAACCAACCATTTTACAACACATTGACTTGAACTGGATAAATTATCAATTCCTTAGCAAACCGGGCCAATTCAACAACATAGCGATCTTTATTTATAAAAAGATTTAATGCTTTAGACCACTTAACTCAAGGGGCTGGCCATTCAAAAGCCCACCCATACTTGGTGTTATTCCATAGCCCATGATTAAAATTAATTTGACCAATTGATGTGGGATGTAGAACCATACACATGACAGATTGCCGGACCTTTTTTGATTGGATGTAAAAAAGAAATGTATATTAATTTGACCAAGTACTGCCATGGTTGTATCAGAAACATCAACATCAAGGCAACCATTATAAGCTATGCTGAAATCTGTACCAATTGGGTTTGACAAAAGAACTTTAGCAAAGGCCAGTAAAATACTTATATAGCACATTCAGATGCCCATTTATTATGAATATTTTAAGTCCAGGAGAAACATGAGTTTCTTCCACCAAGGAAGCTTAGCAACTTGCATTGTAATCAAGGCATCACCCAACAGAGCCACCAACCACATAACAGACAGGTTAGGAAGTCAATAACTAAATAGACAACTCCTTGAAAAGGAAAAGATAATATGTAAATTGATGACAATTAGTTGATCTAATGGAAAATTAATAGTATGGCTAGATATCACATATGCAAAATGAGAAATTTTCTAATGTAAATAGCACAACTAGGTGAGGAATAAGCCTATAAAACTGGGCCTCACTCTGTTTATAAAACCTACCAAAAGAGAAAAGAGCCACAAAACAAGTTATCAAGCTGGACAAGCAAATACCTAGCATTCTAACCCACTTTTTCACATTTCAGAAAGTTAATATTAACAGCCCAAATTTTATTCTAAGCAAAACAGGATATTTCTCTCCCATCAATAACACACTTTTTTCTTTCGATTGCATCAATAAAATACTTTATCACACTAATTTTGTAGTTTTAAAACTGTATTCTTGACTAGTTAAATTTTGCTATTGAAGTTTGAGAACCATTTCCCTGAACAAACTGGAACTTTGCTCTTAACCTTAAAATGGGGGGGATTCAGCTAATATTTATGTAGACTGTCCAATAGGATAAAAAGTAGACAGTTCATTCATTCCAAAGAACAGTGTCATTGCAGGATGCTTTAGGTCAATTAAGAAAAGTTAGTGTTATCCTTTGTGCACATTCCAATGATGCTATTGTTACAACATCAAATCTTATATAGCAAGTCGAAAGAAACATACTTTGGCTGGGGAAGAAATCTTGACAGTGGTAAAAGCTTAGCCGGGTCGATGTAGAACTTATCACCAGCCGAATACGAAGTTGCTACAATGCCTTCCATCATTTTAACTGAAAAGTACTACCAATAACAGAAATGCAAAACAGAAATCATGTCTGATCTGATTCCAAAACTAAAGACAACAAAAAACTACAAACCACAAAAAACAATGAATGGCAAAATAAGGACTTACGGATTCATTGATGGGACCAAAAATTTCTTCAACTTTGCCAATCTGGGTCTTGTTTTGAAGATAAATTGGAGCATTAAAGTAAGGTATTTTCTCATTGGTGAGCTTAGTCACTGCATCGCCCTCGCAAGCATGAAGAAACGTCGAAATCTCTACACATACATCACAAAATATTCACATTCAAACATCATGAATCCATATAACTAATGCAAATACATATATATGTAAGAACAGAACAGAACAGAACAGACCTACTACTTCCTCAGGTGGTTGGTTATAATCGTCGCGACCACCGCCACCAAAGCGGCCACCGCCACGGCCACGGCCACCGAAGCGGCCGCCTCTACCACCACCGCCCCCGAAGCGGCCGCCATCTCTGCCGCCCCTAAATCCACCGCCACGTCCGCCGCCTCTCGGAGGTCGCATCCTTGGTCGAGCGCAGAGCAAAAGATGAAATCAAGAAAAGATAGATCCTCCAGACACAACACAAGTAGGGAGCAGCAGCTGATTGGGGGGGGGTTTAGGGTTAGGGTTTAAGCCTTTTATGCATATCAATCCATGGAGAGGCTTAAAATGACCAGAGTCTCCCTGACTTTCTTCAAATTCTCTAGGGTTTTTTTGGGAAGATTTTGTCATCATTACAGTTAATCATTCCTTTTTCTTTTGTTTTCTTTTTTTTTTTTTTTTTTTAATAAAAATTTTGACTTTTTTTAGGTAAGTGATTTAAGAAATTGATAAAAAGTTACTTTTGATTTTTTTGATTAATATTTATTTATGATGTCAAATTATAATATAATGACCAAACTATTTTCATTTAATTTAAAATATTTACAATTTCATTTATGTAGCATATTTTGACCTATGAAGAGTAGAATTGTAATTTCATCCGTGGCTAAAAATTAACTTTTCAAATGTCTTTAAATTCAAAAAAGTCAACTTTTGACTTTTACTACAAACTCAAAAGTGACTAAAAATCAACTAGCCAAACGAGGCCTTAAAGCTAAATTACACCTCCGCGCCTAATGTATAGGGCTGAGCAAGGAATCCGTGAAATTTGTAATCCGATCTAGTCCAGTCCAATCCGGTAGGTTTGGATTAGTTTTTTGAATCTGCGATTCGGTTTTGGATTGAATAATTAAAAATCCGTAGTCCACGTATTGGTTCCGGATTGAACCCCACGGTTCCGGATTGGAACCAATCCGAAGCGTATACAAATAGTTTATATTTTTATTATACACCCTCTTGCATACTCTCTTCTCTTATTCTATATAAAACTAAATTCAAATTTAAATTCACATAGTATCTTTTTTTATTACTTTTGTTATTTTTTAGTTTTAATTAGTAATGGTCTAAATACTTATGATGAAATTAGTTTTATTATGGTTGCTTAAATTCTAATAGTATGTCGCTATTATAGAAAGACATGTTACTATTATAGAACTAGTGCTATGTTTATGTTTTTATAAAATTAAAGGGTTATATATTTTTTTTTGTTGTTTAATTGTATGCATCCGTGATCCTAAACCGATACAATTCGTGTTTAAATGGATTGATTTAGATTGGTTCTACGATTTAAACGAATTGAATTGATTTCAATTTTTCAAAAATCATAAATAACAAATTGATCCTAATTTTATCTTAATTCAATTTAATTCAGATCATGCTCTCCTCTAGTAATGTATGCATCAGTTCTTACTTTATCCCTTGAAAAAACATATTCTTGTGTTTGGTGTATTCCGCTTATCCACTCTCCTCGTGGCTAAGGGACTTTCTAAAAATTTTAAAAAAATTGGCATTTTGATTTTTTAAAATTATAGTTTTTTTTATTTAAATTCTTAAAAATTAAGTTTTCATACTTTTGTACATATATCTTATAACCTAATCTAATCTCAAAATCGTTCTCATCACTAGGGCTACAAACAAGTCAAGTCGAGTTTTGAAATATTTGGATTTGTTTATTAAAATTTTAACAAGTTCGAATTCGAGCTCGAACTCAATAAAAATTTAATAAATTGAGATCGAGCCGAGTTGGTTTAGACTTGACTCGACCTCAAACTTATTCAAGAGCCTTAACGAACCAAAAAAATTATAAATTCATATTTGCATATGAGCCTAAAGTTACAATTAAAACTATGATTAAACAATATATATATAAATATACTAAAAGAAAAGTCAATATTTTATTAAAATAACTACCACTATTATACAAACATATTATCAATAGTTAACTATTTTTTATATTTACATTTTTTAAATATATAAATAACATATTTATCTTATTTTTTATACATATTTTTATATTATATAATATATAAATAATAAATATTAAACGAACTAACTAACGAGCCGGATTTTAATATATGTAGGCTTATTTATTAAGATTTTAGCGAGTTTGTATTCAAGCTCAAACGCAAGGGAAAAAAAAAAACAAATCGAGTTCGAACAAACTCTTATCGAACCGAACTCGAGTCAATTCACAACTACTCTTTTCATATGAAAAGAACGAAAAAATAAATTAAAGTACGTTGGCTGACCAAAAAAATGCAACTTTTTTTTATCATACAAGGATCCTCTTTAAATCTTGTCGATTAGAAGTGATTGTAATGTGGAGGTCAATCATGTCTTGTTGCAAGTGGTTATTGATTTCATAGGCCATAGTTTATAGCAAGGAGATTGGGAGACGTCCACGATGAGGTGTCGAAAGCTAGGGAGGTGATATGATGGGTTAGTCAACTTTGTCAAATTCATACGAAGATTGTTGATATAAAAATTATTTTTCCCTCGAATTTTTCTCCTCCGAATCCCCCGACTGCCCAAAACGACGTCGTTTTGAGCAGTTTCCATTTTCTTTTCTTTTTTTTCTTTTTTTTCTTCCCTCCAGTCTGAAACGCAGAGAGGGAGAGGGAGAGGGAGAGAAAGAGAAAGAGATAGCAAGGAGATTGGGAGACGTCCACGATGAGGTGTCGAAAGCTAGGGAGGTGATATGATGGGTTAGTCAACTTTGTCAAATTCATACGAAGATTGTTGATATAAAAATTATTTTTCCCTCGAATTTTTCTCCTCCGAATCCCCCGACTGCCCAAAACGACGTCGTTTTGGGCAGTTTCCATTTTCTTTTCTTTTTTTTCTTTTTTTTCTTTTTTTTCTTCCCTCCAGTCTAAAACGCAGAGAGGGAGAGGGAGAGGGAGAGGGAGAGGGAGAGAAAGAGAAAGAGAAAGAGAGAGAGAGAAGAGAGGGGAAGAGGCCGTCACCGATCGAGGATCGAGGCCGTTCGTCGATCGCCGCGGCTCCCCGATCGAGGGTCCATGCCGTCTATCGCGGTCCAGGCCGTCTATCGCTGCCCAGTTATTCTTCTTCTTCTTCCCGGTGGATGTTGGCCCTTCCAGTCCTTCTTCTTCTTTTCCCTTCTCTTTTTCTTCTTCTTCCTCCTCCTTTTTTTAGATTCGAGGGAGGACTCTTTCGAGCTACAAATCAGTTCTCTTGTGGATATCTCTAGTGTGTTTTTTACCTCTTCAACGAGGAAGTGCCAGATTGTTACAGAGTGGAATGTCTATGGAAAGCCAATTTTATCTCAATTGGTAGTCCTCAAAATAAAGGGATGTTACATATCGGAGTTTGAACCAAATTACGTTTGAATTAGGATTTTTTAAGTTTTTCTAAGCTTATCGGCTCATCTATGGGATTTGCTTTGCAGGGGTTTTTGGGGATGAATGAAGAGGATATAGAGTTTCAACGTCATCTCAAATCAGTGAGTTATGGTGAAGGGTGATAGGAGGTTGATTCCGGTAAAGATTAGGTGGTCATGGTGGCAGGAAGGGAACGCAATCACAGAAGGCGAGATCTAGGAAAGGAGGTAGAGCATGAGAGGCACAAGCGTCAAGCCCCATAGCAGGTCAGGTGTGGAGATGTGTCGTTTGTTGTCAACACTAGCACTAAATCATAGACCCTCTCCTAATCAAGTGTAAAGATTAATTATGTCTTTGAAGACTCCTATATATAACACCTATGAGAGATAAAATCAATTTCTAACAGCAAAATAGCATCTGTATCAATTTAAATTATGTAACATTTGTTTCCCATTAATAAAAGTTATAGTACAATGACAATTATGAACCATCATAACTTTGGCTGCAATTGCCATGGTCTACATCTCAAATTCACAAAAGTCTTTGCTAGCACGCTGTCTCTGCCATCTCAAGACTGCTCACAGTTCACATGCTTGGTTGGCAACTCCTTTTTCTTTTTCTCTTTTGTTCTTCCATTCTACAGAAGCATTGATGAAAGCTTTTACATGAGAAGCCTGGATTTTCTTCTGATCAGAAGTCAAACCTCTAGATGTCTGACTAAAAACCATAATCGAATTAATCATTCCCACAAGAAAGCTTCCAGAATTTGATTCCAATCCAATTCCTTGAATGGAAGCTACACACTCCACCCATTAACAAACAGTCCGACCATAACATATTGATGCAATGTAGAGATTTTTGGCCCATTTTTCCTGCAACAGGATGATAGATTGAATAATGAATACTAGTATTCACGTTAAAAAAAATAAAATAAAGAACCCACTACAAAATTAATATTGACAAGATTTGAGGACACTGAAATCCTATTGATTGCAGCCTCACTATTTTCACTTTATTTTCTTTTTCATTTTTTAGGATAGATATTACCCCCCACCATTTTAAAGAAAGGTTATTCTCACTCCAGTCATGTTGAAGTGCATCTCAAGAAAGATTTTAATTAAGGTAGCATTAGTTTCAATGGAATGAAAAAGAATGGAAAGACCATTCCCATGTTTGGTTGACTGAAAAAATACACTACATTTTGAATCGTCATTCACCATGGTAAGGGAATGATCATTCCATTGAAGAGCCTAAGAAAGGACCATGGAATGGAATTCCATCTCATTCCAATCAACCAAATAGAACACAAAGATAATGCAATGCATAGAAATAAGATCCAAATATTTACCTTTACATGGGTGCTTGGGAAGGCAGAGGTACGCAGAGTTTCTTGAGTTTCATCCATCATTTTACGTTTTGGTACACTCAGTATGAAGGCTGCTTGATCAGCAGTAGCAGCCATGGAAGTTATCCTGAAACCATTCTCCCATCGCCGGTGTATTCCTTCACTTGGGTATAAAAAGTCAAGCTCCACTACCTGATACAAGTCAGTACAAAACATTAAAATATCAGCTAATTTAACACATGTTACATTAGTTACAACTTGATCGGACAGCCATACCTGTTCAGAATATCCTGAGTTCCTTGACATTACTACACCCCAACGATTGCCAGCAGTTGTCATGGAGGTGACATGAAAACCTTCTTTCCACTTTTTATTTATCCACTTGAAAGGAAAAGATTCACTCACTTTGTAGGACTGCTGGGTATAAGGAGTTCCTATGCAATTATAGAAAGCACCATTACTAGAGAACCAACGATGTGTAGGTCATTCAAAAAAGTACAGCATTTAAAAAAAAAAAAAAGAATATTGTCAAATTTTGAGATCATCATGATTAAACAAAATTGTGCAGTGTATTCAGTCCATAATATACAACGTAAGGACTCTCCCCATACCAATAACTAACAAAGTGCCAACTCTGATCATACCAGAACAAGCCCTGTAGGCTGCTAATGATGAGCATGTAACATTGCAAAAGAAACAATATGCAACTTCTGACTTTTCTTCTTTAAAAAAAATAAATAAATGAATAGCTTTGATATTCTCTAAATATTTCTACAACAGGGTGTCTCAAACCAAAAGAAGTCATGGTTGGTAGTTCAGCACAATAATGTTAATAGAACTAACGAAATCAGTGGATGGGTTTGGCAATGTTCCATGAGGACAAAGTGACTTCGACAATTGATACAACAGACCGCTACAAATGGGATAACACAAACTTTGATACCATCTGTAATTTTTAGTGGTAAATAAAAATCATATTATAAGAGATGCAAAGGGGGGGTATTCACCCGCGTATTAAAGCATCTTCGTGTTATATACAAAAAATACAAACATTAAAAGCCCCCAACAAAAAATTAGTTCCCTTCAAAATCAACTAACAAAACAGACAGAAGACTTACAAAACTTTTCTTTAAGCAAAAAACTAGTAATGATAGTTTTAGCACCTGCATACCCCTGACCCTATATAGGCACCACAATGCAACTCTTCCACACCATTTTCAAATGGAACCCACCTGGCCATTATTTATAGAATTCTAGCATAGAAACTGGCAGATTATTGAGAACGCAAGAGGGGGGGGGGGGGGGGGGGGGGGGGGGTTGGGCTAGCAGCCTCACAGTGAAGCAACAAATCATCAACTGAATACAACTTTCTTACACGTACACACCAATTAGGAAGAAAAAACACCCTCCTTCCCAAGCTGTCTACATTGAGAATAAAGTCCAATGCTGCCATTCACCTAAAGAAAGCAATCTTTGTACGGACTCCTATTCAAATAGGCCAGCCATGAAAAAACTCTAGCTAAACTACCACACACACACACAAAAAAAAAAAAAGAAGGATATTATGATTTAACAATAATCCTCTCTCCTCTACCGCAATCAGTTATCAAAATAGTAAAATCTAGCAATTTTCAACTTGTGAAAATTTACTTAGCCAAACTCCTAAACTAAAACTTAAATGTCACCACAATAATATGCATCTTTACTAACTTATCTTGTTGGTAATATATCAACTTCTTAAAGGCACGCATGCTTTCAGCTATTTTTTCCTTTATCTTGTGGTGAGAAAATGCAAATTATAAAAGTAGCATAAAATTTTATGCAAACAACAAATATATGAATAAAGAAAACTATTTATATGAATTCTATAAAAACAGTTCTTTTACTAACCTTTAGACATAACAACCAAGGAACTCCCATTAACAGCACCAGCGATCGAGCTAATGTAGTAATTCTTTTCCCACTGTTCCATAATCCAGTCCTGATGAGAAACAAAAAATTGGAAGTGAGTATGAACATACAACAATTAAACACACACATATAGCATCAAAACATCTGAAAAATGACCTTATGAAGGAACACAGCTGAGAGTTCATAGACCTGGGAACAGAAACCTGTTCCCGCATCCATAATTACAGCCCAAAGATTTGTTGCAGAAGCCACACAGCTAATATATAACCACTTCATTACCCTTCTCCACATGCTGGCGCAGCCTTGAATCAGCAACATTGTAATGATATCTGCAAATCCAATAGACAGAATATTAGCTCATCGTAAGCAAAAGAAATATTTTAGTTACAAGCATGTGATTTAGGAGGTTGATGGGAATAAATTCTCAGAGCCTGTTTTGAAACTTCATTTTGAAGATTACTTCTAGGAAACCATCAGTTAATAATCTAAAGAAAATTACTTTTATCCAAAAACGATGGCTTCCAACCATTTTCAATAGGATTGTCACAATTTAGTTTCCAAGAAGCAGCACTAGACTGGGGCCCCCTTAAGATATTATGTATGTTTTAGATCTTCATGTTGAGAAGACATTAACTTGATTTGAGTGTCCAAAACCACATATCCAGAAGCCAGCACTAACTAAACAACAAAAACTATACGCTGTCATTATTTTTAAAATCTCCCAGTCATACACAATACAAGTCCCCTTTAATTTAGGGCAAAGTAGTTCCCACTTTCATATTTAATTTCAACTATGTTTCAGTAAAGGACACATTAATGCATCTAGTAACCATTCAACTGAGAATCGAAATAACCCTAAGAAAAGAATGAATGAGATTTGAAATA